AAAACATTTCAGTATGGATCGCCGAGGCATCATCAGACAATATATTATATGTAAATTTACTTTGTTAAATAAAGTTCATTTTGCTAACTTCATTGAATGCATATTCAACACTAATAGTATCTTAAAAATAACAGAACCCGTGCATTGCACGGGCCAAAACTAGTAATTAGAAAAGGGTGAATTATATATACATACCATGTTCAAGAAAAGGTGTCCACTCATCTACCATTAATATCCCCACTTTTGCATCACATAGCACCAAATTCTAATAATATTAGATGGTCAATACATTCAAACTCCACTTCGCAAATAAAACATAAAAATAGAAATCATTTCTCTAATGAAGAGAACTCTATATCGTTATTGGAAAATATTTTTCTATAATTTATGCCAATGATTCTTGTTGCTTGAACTGTGGGCAGTATTGGAGTTTGATGGATTAGGAATATTGAAAGAGGATTAAAAAGTTAGTGCCACCATGCATACACACACACTCGAGCAAGTACGTGCGCGCGCATATATGCACATTTTTTCTTGCTTCGTGTATAAAAGGCCATAGGATTTCCCATTTATGTTCATTCCATGCAATAGTTGTGTAAGAGAAATTAAAGAGTACTAAGATGGGAGACCAAATCTCATGGGCGACGATGAGTTTAGCTTTCAATAAGATGAAACCCTACTTGGCCATGATATCTTTGCAATTCGGCTATGCCGGAATGTTCATTATTGCCATGGTGTCTTTCAAGCACGGATTTAGTCATTGGATTCTTGTCGTCTACCGCCATGCTGTGGCCACACTAGTTACCACTCCCTTTGCATTTTTTCTTGAAAGGTTCATTTACGTATATCTAGTCGAATTTTTTTCTCCAAATTCGATTCATAGACATATTACATGAGGATAATATTTTTTTGTTTTTATTTTTTGTTGATATATATTAAATTAATTAATCATACTATATATTGAATCCCCTTTTGCAGGACAACAAGGCCAAAGATGACACTATCAGTGTTTCTAAAGATAATGCTGCTAGCTTTTCTTGAGTAATTCCCTTTAACACTTCTCATATTATGTTTGCATATATATTAATAACTTAATGGTGAATATTACACGACATGTTTAGTCTAGTTATGGCCAATTTACTTAACAAATACGTAAAAAAATAATTAATCAATTAAAAAATTTGTTCGTGTTTTCGTATTTTTAGGCCAGTGTTGGATCAAAACTTGTACTACGTTGGAATGAAGTCCACATCTGCAACATTTGCATCAGCAATTGTCAATGTTCTCCCTGCCATCACCTTCATCATGGCACTTGTTTTCAGGTATCACTTCATTCACCATTGTTAAAACCGATCGAGCCCGGCTGGTCAATTCACGGCACGGCCTAATAATTTATTTACCTCATAGGTTGGAGAAGGTAAACCCAAAACAGATACATAGTCTAGCAAAGATCATTGGAACAGTAATAACAGTCTCAGGAGCAATGTTCATGACATTGTATAAAGGCCCTATTGTCGATATCTTTGGGTACTCGAAAGGTGTTAGCCACCATCACCATGGACCCACTGCTGACTCGGCCGATCATGAACATTGGCTTAGTGGCACGATCATGTTGATTTCGTGTATTGTAGGATGGTCCGCCTTCTTTATTGTTCAAGTAAGTATCTTCTCTTCAATTTTTTCTTAAATATTATCACCGTGTAACCTAGCAGGTGGAGTATCCTAACTCTCTTCATTTTTTCATCTATACATTGAGCAGAATAAGACGTTGAAGGAATATCCAGCCGAGCTCTCCCTTACATCTTTAGTTTGTTTCATGGGCACGGTGGAAGGTGGAGTGGTGGCGTTGGTAATGGAACGCCATAAGAGTGCTTGGGCTATTGGTTTCGACTCGAGGCTTCTAGCTGCAGCCTATTCCGTGAGTAAAATTTGCACAATACCTGATCCCATTTTAGTTTATAACTATCACGACGCCTTTATGTAACAATTTTTTAGAGTTGAGGCTCTGATGTTGATTATGTATTTATGATAATTCTATTTTGTCCTTAGGGGATTGTCTGCTCAGGAATTGCATATTACATGCAAAGTACTGTGAACAAGGTACGAGGTCCAGTGTTTGTGACAGCATTTAGCCCCCTAAGCATGATAATCACAGCTGTTCTAGGAGCCATTATTTTGTCTGAACAAGTTCACCTTGGGAGGTATATACTCTG